CATTCACAGTTCTTCCTGCTTTTTAAGTGGTCTGTCACCATCCATCTAGTAGCCCTGCCTCTTCCTTCTGTAACTGTGACCTGATGTTCCCCATCTGCCTTTTCCCATTCCTCCATCTCCAGGCTTTTAATTTGTACATTCCTAGCACATTGGGTCACTTCTGAGCTTCAAGAAAAATATGACTTATATTATTTAAACACGCGCGCGCGCGCGCACACACACACACACACACACACACACACACACACACACACACACACACACACACACTATGTAGGGTCCGCAAGATGGCACAGTGGATAAAAGTACTTGGTGGTCTGAGTTCAGTCCTCAGAACTCATGTAAAAAGTGGAAGGAGAAAACCCAGCTCTTCGAAAGATATCCTCTGACCTCCGCATGTGTGTCATGTCATTTGAGCTCATGCACACACACTAAATGAATGGACAAATAGATGAATAGTTATAGGTCATTATAAACTGAATAAAAGTATCCAAAGCAATACTGTTGTGCCAAACTCTGTGAGCTTCTGACATGAAGGCACTCTGGGATTCTTACTGGTTGTCATTTAATCACTATGATCTTTAGCAACTCAGAGTAGCAACTAGTCAGGCCAGAAAGTTACTACTTGGTGACAACCATTTTGTAGGCCATTATTTACTATCTATCTGTCTGTCTGTCTGTCTATCTATCTATCTATAAAATTTTGGACAAACTTTTATTGAACTTTCATCAGATTATCTTAAGAAATAGTTTTGTTATTTAGTGGGGGGAATGGACAGTAAATTTGACTCAGAACCACTTCTCTTTAGCACACCCTGATGTGACTAAGACTCAGCTGATAGCAAGAACATATTTCAACAGGTATCAACAATATGCTTTTGTTTTGGTTTTCTTGAATTCTGAAAGTGACTTGGGATATGTTGATAAATGACAGGAAGGAGGGAAGTTGGGGAAGGTCAGGTCAGGTTCCCAGAAACATTTAATATGCTGCAGGATCACTTGGCTTTGTGTGATTCCAAGGTTGCATCACACGGTAAGAAGCAAAGTGTCTAAACAGGGCACACACGGGGAGTCACTTTGCACAAGTCCTTTAGAGCAGTGTTCTCAGGTCTTCTGTTAGAGTAGATCACCTCTTTAGGTGAAGTCAGGTCAGAAGAACAAGACTGGACAGGCTGCCTTCCAAAGAGGAGTAAAAACACTGGATCATGACTGAGTAGGTCATGCAGGGGTATGAGTCCTTAACCCAAGGGACAGGAGTGGCCAAGGGAAAAAAATCACAATTTAGAGATCTTATCATTTAGTTTCCTTCTTCCCCAAAGAGTAACCAATATGTTTAGATTCATACTTGTGAGTAGAGAGAGCTGGGTGGGGTGTGCACACTTGTAGCCCTAACCACCAGGGAGGCTGAGGCAGAAGGGTTCTTGCACTTGTATTGTGAGACCTATCTTGAAGAGTCCTAGAGCTTTTCATAAGGAAGCACAATACAAAGTCAATTTTGCCTTTTAAAGTAATACAACTCAATTATGTTGTCAAAGCTAAAGGAAAAGAAATGTAAAAAAAAAAATACAGATTCAAGTAAAGAATTAGAAAACAAAAGATGGGGAGAAGGTGGGAAGAGTACTTGGCTACTTTCCAGGTCCACCTGCTTTCTTCTTTGTGGTGTCAAAATTTTCCTGGACTCAAAGCACAACATACTGGGCTGCTCTAACCCTATCCCTGCCAACCTTGCCCCTTAAAGGCTTCAGCCTCTAGGAAGGTGATTGCATCAGCAACTACTTATATCTCCATCTTGAGCATGACATCTCCGGAGAGCTCAGAGCAGGGCTGCAGCACCTCCTGCCACAGCAGCCGGCACCAAGGCATTGATTGACATGTGTCTTCTGGGACCGCTGCACAGACCCACCATAGATATTCCTAGATACTGCACCATTTATGGACAGAACTCAGCTTCCTCCTTTCCTCTCTTCCTTTCTGAGAGTTAGTCCATTAAAAATCACAAGCATTTTATAATGTGCCCATGTTGTTAGTAATACTTCTTATGAATTGATGGTGTGGGATGTACTTAAGCCGGGACTCAATGCTTGGTATGCTACAATCTTTGCAGAGATTCCAAGGTAGACCTTATTGCAGTTTTCACGACTAAGGTGCAGACTCTAAAAGGTAAACAATTTTGTACAAGATCACAATAGAGAGGGACAGAGTGGGTATTCAGTATGCCTCCCCCTCCCAATACACACAGCAGAGAAGGGATTTGAACAGAGTGATGGAAGTGGTTAATGAAACCTTTGAGTCTGGAGTAATTTGACCTGGGTGGTGATTTGCAGGTCTTTTAGATGTGGTCTGAAAAATTCCTTCTCTGAAGTCAGCCACAATAACAGTTCATTCTTGGGTTCTCTGCCAACTATGGCTCCCTGGTTACTTCCTTCTGCAGCAGTTGGAATTAAGTGACTGATCTAAGGTGACATCAGAGTAGATTGCAGTGTTAGAATTCATAGTATGAGAAGTAAATGTGTCGCTTGTCCTCTCCAGGGCCCTCATCTGTGTTTTGGGTACACAGTATTTGCTATTTTGCTTCATGAGAAGGTACAGGTTTTAGAGTATGAAGGAAAACCTGTTCCGGGTGGTGTCCACCAGTAAATACCAGTTGTAGACAGCAAACTTGTGGACGAGTTATGTAGCTTTCCCTCAAACTCTTAACGTTGTTCTTAGTGAATGCTTGTTTGTTTTTAAATGGATTTTCCCCCCTGAAGACATTGATCTGTAGTCATTGGAAACAAGAAAGTGTAACTTTTAACACACACAAGAAGGGGATGGCTAGGTTGAGAAAGGCTGCCCCATTGGGGTGTGGGGCATTTTGGAAATGAAGACTACACTATGGCAAGTGAGCAGGTTCTCAGGTCTTTATTCTACTGAATACAAGTTTTGCAGCAGAGGTGAGGGAGGGGATGGGTGCCATCTTGCAGTCACTGTGGCCAAACATGATAAGGCTCAGGTTTAAAGTCCACAGTTCCTGGAGTGGGGCTGCTGTGCAACTTGCCTGCTCATGACCGCTGCAGCCTTCTGTCTTGCTGTTTCTAGATGTGCCTATCTTAGAGTTTTGTACATGTGAAGTAGGTCCAGGGAGGAAAGAAAAAACTGTGGAGGGTCTGGTCCATGAATCTGACCCTGTAAGTAGGGATCTCAACAGGTTAGACTTCCTTGAAGAGGTAAAATAAGTGCCAGGCAACCTTAGTACTAGACACTAGAGGAACCCAAAGCAGCTAGCTATTCAGAGGCTATAACAAAATGAAACAGTTTAACATTTTACTGTGACTGTTATAATCTAGGTTTGAAAAGTGGCAAGCACAGTATTCTCTTTTAAAGTAACAAAGAAAAAGATCCTTCCTTTAAGTTATTGGCCACCCAGTCTCGCCTCAGTTTCAGAAAACAGCGATGATGGATAAGGGTCGTGGAGAAGAGTTCCAGTCTCAGGCTGCTAGAGATACTAGCCAGTGCAGTCAGGTCGCTTTTCAGTTTATTTCCCTCCATTTTGGAAAGTCAGGAGCAAGGTGAAGGACAGTGTGGGAATCACAAACAAGTTTGCTAGGATTTCATGAAATATACTCTAGAGTAAAGAAAAAAAAATCAAGGAAATAGGACAGAGGGATTCCAGTCCTCTTCACCATGACCTGGTGACCAGGAGGCAAAGGGCAGAAATAAATAACCAAATTTTATGCAGGAATACACTAACAGGGTGTTCCTACCTTCAAGAGTTGAAGAACAATTGTACTATGTTAATCACTTACCTGGCATAACCAAATAACCTTGATAAAACAAAAGCACTCTGATTTTCTGCTTAATTCAGTCCCTCCCTTGCTTCAAGTATAAGGGCAAGGTTTTAAGGAAGAGATTTGTGGGTTTATGGCAGTTGGTGACTCTGCCAGTACCGTGTTTTGTTGAAATTCATATTGTGCTCAAACTTGCCTTTTTGTAGACAAGCAAAGAAGGCTGCTGAATTTGAGCCATCCATTCCCCTGGCGTATACTACAAGCCTGGTATGTTCACTCCATGAACAGCCCTGGGAAGACAAAGAGGTAGACATGCTTCCTGCCCCTTCCTTTCTAGTGCAGTGTAGCTGTGGAGACAAAACCCAAGTGCTAGAACCAATAAAAGATTTCAAAGCAACTCCCCGACAGTAAGTTGTCCATGGAGGCAGAGGAGTGTGCCAAACACAGAGCATGGATTGGTTAGGACAGGCACACTGGCTGACAGTGCCAGTCCTCCAAACCCATTCTGTGGTGCTGGTGAAGAATGGCATGGACTGGGCTGCTCCAAATGACTGTGGCGGCGTCTTTCTCCTTATCTAAGAGTCTGTCTGTATCTCACAGATGGAGATTAAATTGATCCAACAATTTGCTCTCCACAAAGCCATGTTGGTTTTCCACCTAGTAATTTATGCTTTTCCTGGTGTTTGCAAATCGATTGCTATTATGGGATGCAGACAGAACTGGGCCGGGATCCAGTAGGTTGGGGGATTACTGGAGAGGATACGTGAACATTCGTGAGAAAGCCTGGAAGACAAGGCTCTTGTTTCTGTGTATTTTACTCTCTGAAGAAAAGCATATTTTCAGGTTTTTAAAAGTGTTCTTAATTATATTTAGATTGTGTCTTTTAAGGGACAATATCTGCTTTATTTCAAATTCCTACTATCCGGCCTTGATATTTGCCTAACCTTCAAATGGCTTCAGTGGCTTTGCAGCCAGACCTCTCATCGCAGGAAAACCTTTCTCCACCCCAAAGCATTATAGATGAGTAATTGTTCCCTTTGACGAAGAAATATGTATAGGCATCTATCTAGTTTGATGAATAAAACGTTGCTGTGAAAAGGCTTGGGAAAGTATGCTTTACTTAAACACTTCACCTCATTGTTGTACCTTAAATTTTTTTTAAGTCCTTCTTAGTATTGTGAAATTTTTTCAAAACAAATTAAAAAGAAAACATATTCTGTGATTTCTTTACAGATTCTGGACAATCAGGAAGTCCAAGCCACAATGATCCTGCCAAGAATCCTCCAGGTAAATATGTGTCCCCGGACGTGTGCACCCTGACATTGTTGGAGAACAAAGGGGCCCTGTATAGATCAACACCCATAATTGGTCAGCTGCCTGTTTTGTTCTGGCAGGCAGTAGGATTGGGACAAGATGTGATTGTGTGTAGGTCTCCATAGTGGAAACTGCTTCCTAGTGGAGCCCTCAGTGTTCACCTGAGCACAGAGGTTTTTGTTTTTTGTTTTTGGCATCCTTAAAGCTGATTCAAACACGTTTAGTTGCGTGTCTTTTAGGCATTTGAACAGCTAAAAACCTTTTAATTATTTTTTTTTAGTAGAAAAAAAAAAAGACCCAAAACAAAACAGAAAACCTGGTAACAATATTTGTATTCTTACAGTTTATGCACTGTATTTTAAGAAAGGTACTGGTGAGTCATTATGTTTTAATGAAGAGGTTTTTGCAAGACTTTTAACTCACCATCTTCAGTTTAAGGGGCATATGGCCTTCTTTACTTTTAGATAGAAATGGATCTTGCTGGACATGAGAATGGGCATATGCATTTTGACTGCCCTTGAGGTTTTCTTCTCTACATTCTGCACATACAACATTTTACTTTTGATTTAGAGCAGTATTTTCCTTCTCATGAGAAAATAGAATAAATCTAATGAAGAATTTAAAATTCCTATTGCCATAAGAATTTTAATTGTATCTGTGATTTTGTTAAAGGTGTGTTCTAAAAATATTCTTAACAGAAACAAAAGTAAAACACAATAAACCCCAAAGAGCCAAAATTGCCTTCCAAAAATCTCATCTGCTATATTACTAGAACAGACCACCTAGTGTAAATCCTCAGCATCTGAGGTTTCTCCCATTTTCTGTTGCTCTGAAGTCCTAGTGCTTGGCTAATAAGGAGCTACAGTACCTTAAGATTACCAAATCACAAAAATAGGCTAATTCTCTCCTAAAATTATTTTAGAGAGATGTGGCAACCAATATCCCATGTAAAATACAAAATAAAAAAAAAATTACTTTTCTTTTTTGATACGTATCCATGTTTTTCCTTAGGAAAATTATTTTTTCTATATACATATTATTATTCTATATAGAATATTCTACTTAAGATTATATTGTTTGGGAAAATATTATATACTCTACAATGGAAGTACTAATTCAATATACATTATATACTCCAAAGGTAAAAGTATTAATTCAACACATATTGTATACTCCAATGATGAAAAGTACTAATTCAATACATATTTTAAATTTATACTGAATTGACTTTTCTTAATAAATATTCTAATGCTGTAAACTGAGAGCAGAACATAAAATATTTAAGTTAAAAAATAAACTTTTAAAGCCTCTATCCATTTTACAAAATTAAATAAATGAAGGATGAAAACACCTTGAGGAGAAAACATCTTAAAAGCCAGACTAGACAAAGGCCTTGCTGCTGTTTGCAGCCTCATTGAAATTACTGAGGTAGCCTTGTGTGAAGTGCATTTCTGAGCAAGTGCTCAGGCTCATCCAATGCTGTCTGCTGGAGCTCGGCAGAGCTGGGCAGAGCCATGACCTTTGTGTGTTTATATAATGGTAGGATTGGATTTTTGGTATTTGTCTAGAGGGTTGGCTAGATTTTCCTTCTGCTCCCTCCTGTGTGGAGTATCTTCATTTTTCTGTTTTCACAAAGAAAACAAACAGAAACCAGCTAGAACACATCAGTTCCCCCAACTTTCAAGTTTCTTTGGGGGAAATGTCTTTTGATAACTGTCAAAAACTTAAGATGTTAAATTAAAATTGGCATTTTCTTTGACCATTCAGGAACATCCATCATTTAACATGTTCATGGTGTGGACATTATTGTAGAGCTTATTAAGGAATTTTTGTTTTGAGATAGCCTCTCATCATTAAAAGTATTTGGTAAAAGTAAAAATACATTCTACAATATTTTGAAATAAACCAGGCCTTTGGAATAATATTTTTCAATTTTAAATACAAGAAACCTGAACCTTATCAAGTTCTTGTCTTATAGTCAGCTGGGATAAAGTATACTGGCAACCCAGGTATTGAGAGCTCAGGAGAGTTATCCTAGGACACTGTCTCCATCTCTCAGTTCTGGCCTTGGCTGACCTGATTCATTGTCTCGGGAGCCACAGTCCATTAATGGGAAAATTCAGATTGGTGTCACAAGTGGGGAGACAAATTTCCTGCTTGCTTCTGCAAAATGTGGCCTCCACACTGCACACCTTTACAATGCTACAGGGTTTCTCCTAAGAGATGTGGAACTCTTGGGGATTGCCCCTGTCTGCTACTGCATGTGGCTCCCAACAGCTTAGGAAGAGGTAATGAAAATCCCAGCCTTTTGGGGCATAGCAGCTCTTGGACTCTGTTCCTGACTTTTGACAAGAAGGTGGTCTCCCATCCAGCACACCCATGTATCTGTCTCTGCACTGCGCCGCTTCTCTTGGTTGTCTGACATAGTCACTACTTCTTTACTGATTCTGAGCTTCTTTTAAAATAATATACAGTGTTTTTAGTTATTTCATTTTTAAAAAGTTAATATGCAACTAATTGGTTTTATTATGCCATTTTCACATGTGTCATTATACTTTATTCTCTGCCCTGCACCCCTGACCCCGATGCCCATAACACTGGACTATAGACCTGGATAGATAAATGGGTCTTTGTTTTGGAATTCATGCTTTCATTTGGGATTAGTGTTTCAGCACAAGCAAACAAAAACATTTTGGGAGAAGGGATATTTAGTGTTTGTCATTGGTAAAGTATTTAAATAATTTCTTGGTACTTGTAGTTTATAAAAGCATTCAAATAATCTTTATGGAAGTTGCTCCACCTGTTTATAATTTAAAGTTTTGTTCTGTTGCACGTTCTTTTCATAGCTAAGGTGCTATACAATGAGAAGGTGCCTGACTGCTTGACATAGTGACTTTTGACATTTCATTGAAAGCACTTGGCCATTTTATTGTCTTAATGATGTATCTGTCTCTTGCTTGTGGCCAAATCTGAGACTACATGTTTATCCTCCAAGTTTCTTCTCCTCACCATGTAAGCAGCTGTGGTTGCTAGATGTGACAGGGGTTGAGGGACTTGTGCTAAGATCTGATTGTATCTCCAAATACTATCACTATTTGTAGGAGATGCATCATTGGACTGTAGTCTTTTGGATTTAGCCTGGATTTGCTATGGTGTTTTGTATCTATATTACTTGGACTGTGACCCCTTAGATTTTCCAAACTGAATCTCCTGCTTACTGCTGGAATGGGAGGATATTAAGAGAAAACAGCCATCTGGAAGTTGAATCTGACCTCTTCTCCAGTTGACCCATCAGATTTTAAAAAGGCTGTGGTTTTGTGGGAGGCTCCCTTGGCTGGTAGAGCAGTAAAGAAAAATTGAATCCTAGTGCAAGTCCTATAAATTTCCTGATGTAACTTTTTTGAAGTATTTCAATTTTCATTATCCAGATTTTTCTTGTTTAGAATGAATGGGTTTACAGTTTAATCTCCTACTTTCTTCTTTTGGGAGTGTGTGCTTTGGTGTGCATGTTGACATTTGTATGTGGCTTGACATTATATGAACCTTGAAGCTGTATGTTGTGTGACCTTGAGTCAGCCAGCTTGAGTCCCTTCTCTGTAGCAAAGACAGAAATGAGTAAATAATTAAATCACATGAAGAATCTCTGTCAACTCCAGCAATGCCTGTCTTCACTTAAGAAATTGTTTAGATCATACAAATTTCTAGTTGCTCATTCCCCAAACCTGTTTGGTAGATCCCACACTGCAAGTCAACAGAGGGGTGCCACAAAACTAATAAAAATCAGTTAGTACTGACAGAGAAGGTGGCTCAGCGTCTTTTATTTATTTATTTATTTATTTATTTGGTTTTTCGAGACAGAGTTTCTCTGTGTAGCTTTGGAGCCTATCCTGGCACTCACTCTGGAGACCAGGCTGGCCTCGAACTCACAGAGATCCGTCTGCCT